TGGCCAAGGCCAGAGCATTCCTGGTGCAAAACCCAAAGGAATCTCGACCGAGGAGAATGACGAGGAATTTGAGGACGCGCATCCTTTGCTGGAGCCTTTCAACCAGTTGAGCGTTCATAAACCGTCAACAAGTAGTGCCAAGTTCAGATAATGTGCAGTTGATGATACTGATGCGTCTTTAGGTTTCAAAGGCCCCGGGTCTTCGGACAATTTCCTACGAAGCGTGAGGAAGCTCTCCGGCTTTCATGGTGATGATGGTAGCCTAGACGTCAACCCGAACTTCTACGAGCCGAGCGCGCTACCATCACGGCGGGAGACAGCGAGGACGCGAGTAAGACTACCACCAATCGACATTGCCCGAAGGCTTTTCGCCGCGCAATACACGTACATTGGTACCATTTTCTCATTCACAGACCCAAAAGAGATGTTTGACCAGCTATTGACCGAAGCATACCGTGGTCCTCCAGACCCGTCGGACAAAGAAGCATGTCTTTCGTACGCTAAAGTCCTCATCATTTTGGCCTTTGGACAGCTCTATTCGGTCAACCAGTGGGTGGACTTCAGGGGGCCACCCGGGTTTGAATACTTCACCCATGCCCTGAACCTCCTTCCGGACACTCATGAAGAGGGCTCCATTCTCTGTGTCGAGACCTTGGCGCTCATTGGCTACTTTATGCAAAACATGAACCGCCGTGATGCTGCGTTTCTGTATATCGGCATGGCCCTCCGCATGGCCATCTCGCTTGGGCTGCATCACGAAGTCGGCTACAGCCCGACGCCTACTACCTTGCAAGGCCAAGATGCGAATCCAGAATCGATCGATCACGACACGAGGGAGCACAGGCGGCGAGTGTGGTGGTCGGTCTACAGCCTAGACCGCATCCTGTCAGTCAAATCCGGCAACCCCATTACCATTCAGGACGAAGACATCGGGGTGGACCTCCCCTCTCGACTATCCAGGGAAGCAGAATACTGCCCCGCGGTGGTTTTGCGGCACTACACCGAGCTCTCCAGAATCCTCGGTGAGATCCACAACACCATCTACCGCAGGACAAGCAAGACGGCGCCGAAGTCCGGACAACGGCTCATGGCGTCGGTGCAAGGCATCATCCTCGGCCTGTCCAAGTGGAACCAGGAACTGCCAGACGATCTGCGCTTCGACCCAGCACGCCTCAGCATCAGCCGCGAGAGCGTCAGCACTTTTGCTCATTACTACCAATGCATCAACATGACTGCCCGACCGCTGCTTTTCCACGTAGTGCAGAAGCGTCTCAAGAGGATCCGGAGCAGCAACGACCCCAGCGAAAAGGAGAGGGACTGGAAAGAAGGCTTGTCGCAGACAACCGTGAGGGTTATCGACATGTGCATCGGGGCCGCCCAAGACACCATCAACATGATGACCGTCGCGGCGCAGAGGGATCTCGTGGGTAAGTAAAGTAACCCCCTTCGACGATGCAGCGTGCATGCGGGATAGCGGGCTAACGGAGTAATTTGCAGCAACGTACGGCTACATGGACGGCGAACACGTCTTCTCAGCATCCATCGTCCTCGTCATGGTCTGCGTCGTATTCCCCACCAACGCGTCCAACATGCTCGCCATGAACGCCGGGCTGGACCTCCTCCGCGGCATGGGCGAGCGCGGCAACAGCTACATGGGCGCCCGCTACGAGCTGCTCGCCAACCTGCGCTCGGCCGTCATGTCCGAAGCCAACACCCACCTCGAGCAGCAGCCGCTGGGCGCGTTCCCGACGACCTTCTCCTCCACGGAGTCGCTCATGCCGGCGGGCGTCATCCCGCCGAACGTCGCGATGCTGCCGGTTAACAGCATGGGCGGCGACGGCAACCTCTTGGCGATGCGGTACTCGCTGGGCGGCGGGCAGCACATGGTCGTCGGCGCCGAGCGGGTCACGTTCCCCGTGGTCGACAACAGCGCGCTCGGAGAGCCGTTCTACGATGAGAGCGTGAGTACGGTGATGGACTTTGGGCTCTGGGAGGAGGGCTTCGCGGACCCCGCGATGGCGATGGACGCGAGCTTCGACTTCTCGCAGTGGACGCAGACGGCCGCTACTGGCATGACTCAGGCAGATGATAGGATGGATGTATGACAAGCAACTCTTATTTTGCAAACTGCTGTCGCTCACCAGAAACGGGTTCGCCTTATCGATGTTATCGCCATGGGTGACCACAAAAGTCTGGCCACTTTTTTTCTGTTTCTGGTGATCGGCATAAGCTGAACGCCTGAGGCGGTGACTAGCAAGAAATGAGTCGAAGCCCGAGGCTTCGGACGTCGTGTCCGGGGTGGCTTTTGTTATCCTGACATCATGCCGGGTGGCTGGGATGCGCTTCCTTGATACCGAGCCTACCAAAGAGCCAAGACAAGGGACGCCCAACGCTGTGGTTTTCCGCGGCGTACTATGGTATATGTTCCCCCAACGAACCTATGAAGGCAACTCCCAGCGCCTTCTTGAACCCAAATTACTCGCCAATGCAACGGCCACGCGAAGGATGATAGGGGAGCCACCCCGAAGGCGGGTGGGTGGAGAAGGCGCTATCAGCGCTATCATCCCCGGTGGGGATGATCTCCCCGCGCCGTCAGGGGTGTCGGTGAGGTCCTCCGATCATGGCCTGCTCTCTGGTTCGTAGAAGACAGCCTGCCTTGCCTTGTGGCGCGGTTCTGTTCGTCGTCGTTAGGGGAAAGCCAAGAAATGCGGAGAGTGGTTACTCGTTGCCCCCTCACGATGTCACCGTTCGATACCAAGGATCCGTCTACCCGTGCCATGTGGGTTCGGCAACGCGATACATCCCGACGAACTGAAAGCGTTATCCGTCGAGGAGAGAGAGAAAGATGCAGGTGTCCTCCGGGAGGGGTGCCGGCAGTGGGAAAGATAAAGTCGAGTGATGCCCCCGTCACATCGTCCTGCAGCAGGAGATCCAAGAATAAGGAACAAACTTTAGTTCGACTCACGTCTTGACGGGCTCACCAACCAACCAGCAAGACCCTGAAGTGAGATCCAGCAGTTCCCATTTCCTCGCCATGACGACCATCTCCACGGCCGTCGATGCCTCCGGCGGCATCACGGACTCTACGGAAAAGGGCCTCGGAAGCGACATTGACCGCGTCGACTCCAACGCCGGCACCACGGCCATGGAGTCCATCGACCCGGCGGCCGAGCAGAAGCTCCTCCTCAAGCTCGATGCCTTTTTCGTGCCCATCATCATGTAAGATTGCTGTCAAACTCACGAACGCAATGACCATTGACTAACAATAGATGAAAAACAGGCTGGTTTACTTAACCTGCTTCCTCGACCGAACCAACATCGGCAACGTCAAAGTCGCCGGCATGCCCGAAGACATCGGCGCCTCAACACAAGAATTCTCCACCGCCATCTCCATCTTCTACGCGACCTACGTCGTCTTCGAGTCCCCCTGGACCATCCTGATGAAGCGCCTCACCCCCCGCGTCCTGCTCACCGGCCTCTGCGTCGTCTGGTCCATCACAACCATCTTCTCGGGCTTCATCACCGGCATCGCGGGGCTGTACGTCGTGCGCCTCGTCCTCGGCGCCTGCGAGGCCGGTCTCTTTCCCACGCTGAACCTCTACCTTACCATGGTGTACAAGCGCGAGGAGCAGGCCAAGCGCGTGTCGTACCTGTTCGTCTGCACCGCCATCGCCGGCGCCTTCGGAGGTCTACTCGCGTACTCGATTCTAAAGATGGACGGCGTTGCGGGCCGCGCCGGATGGAGGTGGGTTTTCATCATTGAGGGTATCTTCAGCATCATCATCGCGCCCATCATCTGGTTCGGTCTGCCGAATGACCCTGGCAATGCGTATTTCCTCACCGCCGAGGAGAAGCGCATGATGAAGGTACGCGCAGCGCAGCGCGTGCAGTACATGGGCAGCGAGGAGTTCAGCTGGGACGAGGTCAAGATTGCGTTGAAGGACCCGAAGCTGTACATCAGGTATGTCGACTGCACACATTCCCATCTCCCCACACCGCATCATATCATGGCGCAATGCTAACACTATCTCTCACAAAAGCGGCCTCATCCAATTCTGCCAAGACATCCTCCTCTACGGCTTCAGCACCTTCCTCCCCTCTATCATTGTCAGCATGGGCTACACCAGCATCGAGGCCCAGTACCTCAGCATCCCCGTCTACATTTTCGGCGGCATCGCCTTCCTCTGCTTCGCCTACGTTTCCGACCGCCTGTGCCTGCGCGGGCCCCTCGTCCTGCTGGCCAACGTCCCCGGCATCCTCGGCTACATCCTCATCATCTGCCCGACCCCCAACGGCGTCAAGTTCTTCGGCACCTTCCTGTGTGCCGTGGCTGTCTACAACGGTCCTGGGCTGAACCTGACATGGCTCAACGTCAACATCGCGCCGCACTACCGCAGGGCCACGGCTATCGGCATGCAGCAGTCCATTGGTAACACTGCGGGCATCGTCGCGGGGCAGATCTACCGTACCTCGCCGTATTTGCTGGGTAACGCGTTCTCTGTTGGCGCGTTGGGTGTTTCGCAGCTGTTGATCATTGCGAAGTGGCTGTACATCAGGCGGTGCAATGAGATGAAGAGAAAGATTGCGAGTGGTGAGATGGAAGATACGAGGAAGGTCAAGACTGGTGACTGGGAGCTGGATTTCCGTTATCATTTGTGAAGGGGGTTCATTCGGACCAGAAACAGTGCTATACACTTCAGGATACGGAGCAACTTCATACAAAGCCTCATGGTTTCTAATCAGCAAAGTAATTGTTTGACTTAACTTACGGTGCTATGATTTGGAACCCGTAAGAATGTCGAGCTCGTTCACTTTGACATTGGAGTTAAATCCCAAATTCGAGGAGTCGAGATACAAGTCTTTCTCAAGTCTCCGCACTCAAGTCCGCTAGGAAACACTCTTGATCGTGGCGAACAAATCAAGACAAATACGCCCAAATAAATCGCAAATGGGAATTCCATTGACATACTTACGCTGCCCGCAAGACTCTTCAGCGTAGTCTACTCAACTACCGGTGGTTGTTCCAATGGCTTTCTCCCATAAACGCCAAAGCTAAGAGAAATTAGCAACAATCAGAGACACCTCACAAGCATGACAGGTAGCAATAACTCACACGTTCCAGTAGGCATGGATGTTGCGATTTTTGAAGTCATTCCCGACCCCAGCACAGAACGCGAGCACCTCCTCGCGCGTCCATCCGAGCACGCGGGTGTAAAGAGCCAAGCACGAAGGCTCTATCCCCGCCATGCACGCCTCCCTTACCCACTCTCCCCGGTGGTAGAGCTTTCTGTCCTTGGTCCACGGGGAAACCGGCCACACCTCCTTCACCTCGACCACGTCAACAAACCCGGCGTCCTGCAGCATCCGCTTGAACTGCGAGGGCGCTTCAATGGACCGTCCCATCTTCTGGACCGCTTCGATCAGGAGAGAAGACCACCCGGACATTGATGTGCCTTTCAAAGTTTCGTCGTCGCTGAGGATGGGGAATGCGTTATCCTGCAGCTCAACGTAACCGCCGGGTTCGAGTTTGCTTATGGCTCAATCAGTACTTGTCCACACTGCGTTAAGCCAAGCATCAGTCACGCACTCGTAGGCCTTTCGAAGGAGCTTCTCCCAGCTCTCGAAGCATGAATTGCCGTGTCGGATGAAGATGAAATCAAACGGCTGCGACCATGTCCAGTCTTTGTCTACGTCGTCGACCTCAAACCGGCAATTGGGGGGCGTGCTGTTCGGGTCTGTCATTCTGGCTGATTCAAGCTTAGTCTTTGGCCGACTTACCTCGAAGGTTGAATGGGACTCAGATCAACGCCGATGACCTAGAGCGGCAATGCTGTTCTACGCCTCATTCATGGCATCAAAGACGTGAGAGATTCGACCTACCTCAGCTTCGGGGTGCTCGTCCGCTGCGTGGTTGTCAGCCTATATGTGGACTTGGAGGTAAGTCCCGATGGATCCACTTACCGTACTCAAGAGCCCAGATGCCAGTTCCGGTTCCTACATCCAGAACCCGTTTGGCACCCTTTGACTTGGGGGACAGGCAGAACTGGCCATCCCAGGTCACCATCCACAGGTGGTGCTGCAAATCTAGATCGGGTCAACATAGGTGAGTAGCAAAGTCAATGCAATTGAAATTACCCAAACGATCTTGCTCCGCGTACGGGTTGTCAGAATGGTCAGGCTACATGCCGATGGATGTATCGGGGGTGGGGAAGTACCTCGTCATTCGGAAGAACGTATGCTATATATTTTTCAGTCAAGAACAATCCAAGTCGGAGGCTGTAGGGGACTCACTCCCGTCACTCATGCTGTGATATGTGCGTCCATTTTTTTCTCGGTACTGCAGAATGCTGGATCTCAGAGAAGCAGTCGAGGATGTGCCGTCCGACTGCGTCGAACATGTCTGAGAATCTACAAGAGATACAGCAAAGTAGCATTGCCAACCACGGCTAGAACGGACGATCCATCCGAAAACTGGTCATCGTCACCAAGGGCCTCAAGCGCTTGCGGAGCCTCCTGCGTCGGCTCGTGAGCTGGAGTTTCGGTCGTGCCAGGCTGCACGTTCGACTGGGTGGCGTCCTGGCTTTGTGTGCCTGCGGCTTCTTCGGGCTGGCTAGCCTACCAAATTGTCAGTTCATTGTGCCTTGAGCTGTCGAGCCATTGAGGATGGTGATGTTTACAGCGCTGGTTGTCAGCAAATCACGGACGTCCATCTTGCTTGACGTTTCAATCAACGTAAATATTCGCGACAGTCGAGACGGTAAAGGCGGAGAGGTGTCCTGATGCTTCAATCTGAGCTCGCGTTCCCCCTCTCGCCATACTATCATTCCCCCGCTCCAACAGCTCCCTCGGTTGGTTTGTGGGATTGGCTGATTGTCACCCAACGCCGCATCTGGTTGGACTGCGCCGCATACACGCAGATGCAGTGTCTCGGCGCTCCCGATCATCCCTATTGGAGAATGGGCTGATCAGAATACATCGGTTCAAGCCGGCTGAAAGCCGTTGGACCAACCCATGATGGTCGAGTAGACTACGACGGCCCTGAGAAAGCCACCACGATCCTTGCTTTCATGTTCGTTGAACTTGGCCTTTTTTATTTTCTTGCTGTTTTGCTACAGTTGACAGTGTAATGATATTTTCTACCGCACCCAGCCGAGACAAACACGGCTAACATGGGTTCGAGTTGAGGGCTCGCGACCGCAGATCAGGCGCGCGGCGTGCAGAATCTCCAAGCCGCATCTCTCTTCTGTAATAAGGTACTAGTCCAACAGGCCGCGCAGTGCATCCTGCTTACAGGGTAAACTTGATGTAATTCTTTTGCTTGAGGTCTGCATCAAAAAGTCGAAATCCGAAATCACTCTGTGGGCCGCTCAATTGCAAGGTTCGTTGAACTCAGTTGACGTCAAAGGTCCGAACCACTTCTAAGCACAGTATAAATCAAGTTCAATTCATCTGTAGTAATTGACAGTCAACGTGGAAAGTGAAGGTTTGAAGCATGCGTTGCACGAAATTGTCTTCAGGGAGGACCTTGATTCTGACTATCATTACCGCCAATAACACCTCGAGCAAGAACCCTCAGTTTGTTTTGTTTTCTAGTACAATATTTATATGTCGCCATTTGCAGGGCCCCGCGGTCACTTCATACTCGTGCCTCATTATCTCAAATCCACTCGAGGATGATGCTGTCCCAGAGGAAACCTCTCCACTGGGTATACCGCGTGACGCTGAACCCAACCGTGTTCTTTCCCGCCTTCAGAACGTCAGTATCGATCTTATACTGGAAGAACCTCCATTCTCCGCTGGTCTTTCCAGAGCGGTACAGCGCAGGATCACTCGTCAGGACGTCCTTGCTCAACGAGCCATAGACCTGCCCGTTAACATCGATATCAAGCGCCGCGCTCTGCGAGTAGCCAGCCAACGACACACTCAGAAGCGCAGTCCTGTTAGCGGCAACATCGCCGGCAGGGAGATCAAACTCGATCGTCCACTTTCCGACGGCAGACGACGCAAAGTACCAATCCGAGTCTTGAGACTGACCGACGACGAACGTCAGGTTCGCAGGGCTGTCGGCCGCCACGCCATGTTGGTACGGCACACCGCCGTTCTTGAACCCCGTCGCCTTCTTGTCGAACTCGCCGACCTGGAAGATGCGCTTGCTGCTGGGAACCTTCCACGAAAGCTGGCCGAGGTTCACTGTCTTGTCCTTCGAGACGGTCACGGGCGCGGTGAAGTTGGTGTATACGTCGGCGAGCTTGCCGCCGTTGGACCAGGCGTAGACGGCGTACGAGCCGGTGCGGACGTTGTCGAAGGTAAAGCGGCCCTTGTCGTTGGTATACGTCGTGTAGTAGTAGTTTGTGCCTTGGATGGAGGGGCGGATCGTGGTTTCGGAGTCGCCGAGGTAGACGGCCGCGTTGGAGGCGGGGCGGCCGTCAGAGAGGGTGAGAGTTCCCTCAATCCCGCCACGGGAATGGTAGGCGGAGTCTTTGAACCACGTGTACGGGACGTGCTTGACCTCTTCCTTGTGCTTTTGCGCGGCGTCGGCAACGTCGCCGTTGTTCTTCTACTGTGTTAGCAGTGTAATCATTGATCCATACGTTCGGCAAGTCTCACCAGATACCAGAGCCAAGGGCCCCAGACCTTGCCCACCGGCTGAGCGAGGGTCTGTCCAACACGAAAGTGCGAAGTGTCCTGAACAACATTTAGCTGCACCGAGTCTCCAGTCTTTGACTCTCTGTGGATCTGCAGCAATGTTAGAATATACGATTTTCACACGGTAGACCGACCTCGCACTCACCGTCAGAGTCTGACTCAAGTGGTCGCTGTTGTAGTACTCGGTCGTCGGGTGGATGTACCACGACCCGGCCTCCGAGCCGTAGATGCCATAAAAGTCGCGATCCCTCACGGCGTTGGACCAATCGTACTTGGTGATGAAGGACCCATCAGCCAACTGCCAGGTCTCATCCTGGACCTTGGTCGCGTTTGCGTACAGCGAAAACTCGGGCAGGGGCTCGTCCTTGAGGTGCGTGCGACCGTTCGGAAAGTACTCCGGCGCCAGTCTCCACAGAGTCCGGAGGATGCTGATGTCGGGCAGGGCCCGGTTGACAAAGTACTGATACGCGCCGCTCAGGTCGTCGAAAATGACCCAGTGGAAATCGCCTGCAGCGGCGGAGAAGCTGACGTCAATGTAGTTTGTGCCTCGGGATGCGATTGTGGCATTGGTGAACTGGAGATTGTTTTCGCCATCTAGCAATATGTCAGATATTAAAAGCCCCAAATTGCGATGGGTCCGGGGAGGGGAGGGGGCGTTGTTTAATGTTATCGGGGAGGGAGGGAAGCCGTCAAATCATACCGTAGCCGACGTAGTGGCCGACGGCCGAGCCCACCAGATCGGCGCCCGGGACGCCGGTCCAGTAAAGCTTGGTCGCGTACAGCGAGCCCTGCGTCAGATTCCAGAGATCATTTCCAATGACCCAGGTTGAGTCATTAATCTGCTCAAGGAAGGGCCCCTTGCCGGCACTGACGACGGAGGCGGTCAGCGCCCAGGTGGAAAGTCCTGAGAAGCGCATCGTGTCGGACGCAGAAGGCGAATACCAGCGAGGCGCTTGAGCTTGAAGCTGTATTGTTTACGAGGGGTGACGACGCGAAGCTTGTCTAAACTCTAAGAACACCACCATACTAAAAGCGCGAATGTCGAATTTTATATCATTGGCGCTGAACTCTGATCGAAGGCCGTCGATTGAAGCTTTCGCCTCTTCGGCAGGGTAGCGACGTGCGGGAGTTGTGTCGTCAACGGGGTTGCGGTGGAGAGGCGATATTGATTGGCACATTGACGCCTGTCTGTTCGTGATAAGTTGCGATAGACGTTTCGCACTGTAATGGTGCTGGTCAGCAGAATGGGGGAACACAGTGTCAATGGTATCCGGATGGAATAGAGCTTCTCCAAAACGACGTTGTTCTCCGTGATCCCCTTGTTTGTTTCTTGGATTGAGGCTATGACGGCATTCGGCACACAGCTGTGGTTGGTGGCGCTTCTTTTCACCGTGGCGTCCTACGCCATCACTGCAGGTCTTGCACCATCGCCGTGCCCACAATTTCGGCAGTCTAACCGAAAATCACTTCATGATAACGGTGAACTGATCTGTTGATCAGACTGATATGCGGTCTTTTCTCTTCTTCTTCTTCTTCGAACCTTGACATCCAACCTCAAGTTTTTATCGCATCACTGATTCTAGACGCTTCCTATCTCAAATGTATGCCTGCGCCCCGAGAATCTTGAAGGCTTTCACCAGCTGGGCGCTTCAGGCAATTTTACGTCGTAAGCTCTAACTGAGTAGTTAGAATAGTCTGAGGCTCCGAACAGCAGTATTAATTGCGCTGCAAGTGTTACCAACGCTGGAGACATGAAGTCTGATCTAGTTATAGTGTAGACATAGTAGAAATTCTAACCGCCTATTGAATAGCAGTCGCGGTGTTCTGCGTCTCGCGTCACAGCGTGAGCACTTCTTACCTCTGCGACGACAGATCGTCCTCGTACGTACTGTTGAAGTCTGACTCAAACAGTCGCTGTTGTAGTACTTGTTCTCGGGTGGGTTTACCACGACCCAGCCCAGCTTATTCTTCTCTGCATCAACTCATCACACCCATGGGCCATCACACAAAATCTGGATTCCAGTCAACTCTAGCAGCACAACTTGGCTGAATGGGCTGGTGAGGCTATGGTAGGTAGGCATCTCATCATATCTATGCGCTTTAGATCGCGCATGTATGGAACACCGCAAGGCAACTTCTGCGCATGGCTTTTGCTGCACTATGTACCATCGCACATTGATCATCTAATTAGGTTGCAGACAGCCGACTGCCCATACGATTCGCGGCCTCGATCGGAACGAGGAGTAAACCTACTTGTCATATACTGAGAGCGATCACGTCAGGATTCAGGCAAGTCGTGGAAGTATTCGTGGCCTATTGATATTAACCGCACATGTTCCCACGCAACAAGATCATACTGAAGAGAGTTCACCACACATCCTAGTACTCCATGTACGTGTACAGAGACTAAATGCATCAAATTCATCAATTGCCCTAAGGCTTACTAGATGATAATCAAATGTGAGACTAAGTAGAGAATGTTCCTCAAACAGAAGGTTACGTATGTGTTGAACATCCGGCTTCCTCGGTAGAAACGAAATTGCCTGCCTCTGTATCTTTTTTTGGCACTAAGTTCCCTGCCCTGCACTCCCGCAATTGGCAAAGCACATCACAAATCGCAGTGACTTTTAGAGGCTATCTCGACGGATCAATTCACTCGGGACCCCAGACAATTATCTTAGATACATGGCTCATATCAGGCGCCGGAAGCCTTGCCGTGCTGGGATCCCGTACAACGACCTTGTTATCCGCATCGGACCAGCAGACACCCTCATCGGTATTTTCACAGAATGAGAAGACGGTCTTGGTTGGCATGTGACAGAACTTCTTCTCCTCGTACGACACGAAGCTCTGGCCGGCGGCGTGGCCATCAGGATTGCAGAGTTCCGTTGCGAGGTGCTTTGCCCAGTGACTTTTGATGATGCGAGGGTCCTTTTCGAACCGCTTGGTCAGGCGCTCTCCTTGACGTCGCCTGGCCTTCTCCCGCTGTTGCTGGTCTCTCTCCCCATCGACTCGAAGTTTTGCAGCTGGCGACATTTTGATCGATGGGTCGCGTGCGAAGAGGTCGCGCTTCCGAGTCCAGTGGAAGATCGATCCGGGGTCGCTCTCGGTGTGAAACCACACAGGCGGCCGTTCCCTACAGTAGTAGTCCAGGTTCTGCTGCTGCGAATTGTCGCCGTCGAATTCGGGCCAGTGGACCTGGAAGCCTGTGGTTGGAATGTCTCCATCTTTGTCGACCCAGGCGCAAAAGACATCGTCTTCATAGCTGATGCCTGGGACCTGTGTCCCAGCGTAGTACCTTCGTCGCTCGTTAGATGCGATTTCATGAGAGGGGTAATGCCTGATGTTAATGGGGCAGTCGATTAGAAACGTACCAATAGCCATTGTTGAACGATGTCTGATCACACGCGTGAGCCCAGTTCCCGGGATGGAAGCCGTACTTCTTTTGGCCGCCGGCCCACGATAATCCGGTCCAGGCAATACATATGGCGTCGTTATTCCCTGAGAAGAGCGTATAAGTCGCAGCCTCCTGGGTGTCGACGTCCGTTGTACACGTCGTGACACCCTCGTCGCAGTAGCCGTCGTCATAGTTGGCGCCGAGGAACTCGGCCGTCTCATCCCAAAGACGGACGTCAGGAAGATCGCCGCCCGCGCTGCTCAGGTCTCCGTTAGCACCATCGTTGGCGATGATGTAACTGAGCTTGGTCTGCTCATCGCCGCTCGGAACATTGTCGAGCAGGAAGGAGAGCAATGTGATGCCCGTTCCGATTACAGAGATGATGTTTGCAGCAGCCATAACTTGCTTGAGTCGAGACGGGGAATATAACGTAACAAATTGATTGGAGAAGTAGCGCCCAACGAGCTGACGATGCACTATGCTTTGGGAAGTGAAGTCGAAGTGGTCTGTTTTCCATTGATAAATGTCTGAATCAGACAAGCCTCCATCCTACTTATACCTTTAGATCTCTGAATGACTTTCCAGAACGTACTCGTTCATACTTTTCAGCCTCATCTGTTGGTCGTGAATGCAAATGCCCCCTTCACAATGTCCCTCCACCATCACAACTACTGTGCCGCATCGTCTAAGCACGCCTCAGGTGACCTTTTGTGGTGACCGAATCCTCTGTCGTCACATCCTGTTCACGTTCCCTGCTGCTGACTCTTTCCATTTTCATCTCGCTGCTGCTCAAAGGTACATTGACATCTTCGGCCTGTCAGTTGGTCCGCCCCGACGTTAAAGACGCCGGTCGAATCTTGTTCAATAAAGGCGAGCAAAAGGCTTTCCTCAGTAGCCAACACCTTACAATTAATCGAGTTCAGGCAAGGATGTCAATATTTTTCCGTCCTTCTGCTCAAGGTCCCCAAGCCAAGGGAGCAGATGCGTGATGAAATAAGGATCACGTCATTCTGACCGCCGTAGGGAAGACATCTGTGATTTGAGAAAGTCTGGTTGCCAAGCGCTCACTGGATGTAACAAGCAGAAACCCTTGGTGAGGCTCACAAGTCATGGCAACCTCATTATTTCTTTTCGTGACATCCGCCACTCATTGCAAACACGTCGCAGGCAGTTTGTTGTTGGTGACGGACGGTGTGGAATTGATGAGACCGGACTCATACGTTAGAACTTGGAATCCACCCCGATCGGGCGTAAAGAGCGGAGACCAGACGGGATTGGCTATTCCGGGGTATTAACCGGCGGCTGATGTGACCTGACAGACGGACCGATACTGGCCGCCGTGGCGGGATGTAACATTTGCGGTGACGGATCTTGGCAGACGATCCCGTTGCCCGGCGCGTTGGAGCGACCAACGAGGGATGACGTTGATAGCGAGCGGAGGCCAACCACGCCAAGCCAGTTCTGTTGGCTCAGTAAGACTCAAAAGAAGAAGACAAGACATTCAGGTAGCCAGAAGAAGAAAAGAAAAAGAAAAAAAAAGGCCAGATCACATCCGCGTTGTGTTTTCTGCACGCTTTAACATAAAAATACATCCCGCACCCCGACACGTTTGTAGGCAACTGACGGACCAGACAAGATCGATCCTCTCTGGTCTTGAGCACAGATCATATCGATCACAATTTAGACGGCGCTATTCTTCGTGGTTGAATTGTTAGGAACTTCCTCTCACAGTCACGAACAAAATGACTGGCAATGGCCAACGGGTCAGCGCCTTAGGGGCTTTTGCGACCGTGATTGCTGCGCAACAGAACCCGACCCAAATTCACAATCCCGCCGTCGACATTTCATCCTGCCAGGCGCTCTCCTGTGCTCCCAGCAACGACAGCATTTGCTCAACAGGAGAGATGCCCGGGCCTGAGATTGGCGTTGGTATTGCCGCTGAGGTCGTGAACGCTTCCTCCACAAGACTGTCTCTGACGCTCATCGACGGCCTTGATGAGAATGGCTTCACCGGCATCGGCAGCGAAGAGTACGAATACTCAGACCAGCAACTGTTCGTCGGCCTAGACCCCAGCCTAAACGACGACGAATACCCCTCGGGCTGTGCTCTGATGATGCAGTACCAAGGCCAGACATTCCCCCTTGAGAACCTGCCCGAAGATGACGCGCGGGCAGAGAGACACCAAAATACGACCTCCTGTGACGGCGTCGTCGACGTGTTTTGTCAGTCAGCCATCGAAGAAATCATTCGGAGCTTCAACACCTCCGACAGTGAGCAGGGCGACCGGTGCCAGCTCCTGACTCAACATGTCAGCTCCGAGCTGCGGAGCAACCCCGACACGTGTGGCGGCGAGGGAACATGGATCGCCAACTTCATCAACGTGACGGGTGGCGCCTTGCCCTCTGCCGCTTCCGACTCTGCGACAAACGCCAAGCTTGGCGAGGAGGAGTGCAGGCCTGTTCTTCCGCAGTCGTACCGCATGTACAAAGTCGCTGAGATGCGGGCCTTCACATTTGCGGACGCTGCCGACATGGGATCGGAGTTCCATGACAGCTTGTTTGGGGGACGTGCCGGATTTACGCCTGTTGTGACGGTGATTTTCCGGGAGGAGGAGGAGGATATAGAGAATGCAGGGATTCAATTTTCTTGCATGAAGACATTCCAGCGAGATGGAGACCCTCGCGGAAACCCTTCCGAGAGCAGTGCACACGGTAGGCCGCACATTACGGCATGGACATTGGCTGCCTCCGTTAGCTTGGTGTTTGCACTGTTGCGATGAGGCTCAGATATCTTATAATATCAAGCCTTGTCCATATCAATGTTTAGGCAGCAGCCTATTGGCTGCGTATGAAGGAATATGTCATTCATGACCTTTGAACTCAAACTTGAATTTGAGAACAGCTTGGATATTTTGGGGATCAATACATTTGAATAACCGTTTGCAAATTATTGCTACACCGTACTCTTTTTCTATTTGGTGCGCCTGCTGCATGATAATCAATTTGGCGTTGCATAAAAGAAACCAAAGCGCTCAAGATCTCCTACGTTCATATTTGTATGACGATCCGAAATGCTCATTGTTTTCCCGTTCATTTCAGCCTTGGTCGTGCATGAGCATCGCAACATAACCTGTTTGTTGCCTGACGCTAGGTAAACTTTTATAATACAGATTCATTAAGTAGGCTAGTATGCAGTGATTAACAGAACTTAAGCAACTGTCAAAAGGGAAAGTTAAAGAACGAGACTTACTATGTAATAATCTGGTTAATTGGTAGCTTATGATTCTGATCTTATGTGTTAAAAAATAACCCTTTACACTTTCATGGACTGTGTGAACTATCTAGATAACTATCGTGTAAAAAGTTATGCTACATTTTATCGGTGCATTCAGAAGCGGGTACAATGGCTAGTCTAAGCCTTCTCTTCCGGTGAGGCGTTTGGGCAACACCTCCGGGTCCGGCCTCGGGATGTGGAGGTGGATCGTCGCCCATTGTCCCGGGATCATCCGCAACTGAGGCAATTCTCGACATATATCATTTGGCGCGCCTGGGCACAAGCTGTGTTGTACTCACGATTTCGAAGCAGAGCCATTCCAACATGACCCACACATTCTACCAGTGCATTCAATCATCACATCAGTGTGCAGGTCCTTGCTGTTAAAACAGAAGGCCGAAAATCAGGAACAAACACTTTTTGAGGGTCTGATGGTTTGCTATTTTGTGGGCTTGCGTTTTCATCGGTAGGGCCCGTACTCTCCTGAAAAAATCGTTCTACTGCTGAAGAGGTGACTAAGGGGACATATGAACGCTTCCGAAATTCTGCCAGCTTGAGTTCCCAGCCATTCTTCGTTTACAAGAAGTCTGGATATCCATACGACGATCGCAATGCCGGTCTTTAGCGCGAAGGGATACTGAATTCAGTACGTCTTCCACGCGATCTTGATGCGATACTGATCAGAGCATCAATACTAAAGCAACGTCCGCCAGCTTGCGGGATCCGTATTCCATGCGGCTAAACCTCATCAAAAGGAAGTACAAGTTATCCCCATTCATACCATCTGATGTCTACCGGCATTCAGCCTACCTTGTCTACCACCTTTCAAACACCACCTCAAGCGACGGATCGAGAGGTCAGCGATTCCTGTGAAAGGTATGATCTATCAACATCCTTAGCCCGGTGTCGCTCGTTCTGAAGCATCTTGTCTGCGAATTCAGCTGCTATGGTGCCTTTGATTGAGACATCTTCAGAATGCATTGATCTAAGTGCTCACTTGGGACGTTAATTGTGCACACTCATGGAGCATCTGGAGTTATTAGGCGCTGCGTCGAGCTGTTGAAGAGTTCCAACCCTATTAAGCACGAAGTCTTATCAACAAGAGCTAAGTAGGCATTAAGAAAATCAAGACTTACTGTGATGTTTGAGATTGTGTAGCCATGAAGAAGTCGAGAGATCAACCATACCTACTCGGAAAGGTCCGCTTGTGATCCTTCCAGGGCTTATATTGCGAAGTTTTCCATTAAAGGAATGGATCTCGTCAAATACAGACAGAGCGAAGATCATGGTCGCCTCTGGAGTAGCAGTCGCAATCTCCCACACCTCTCCACGTCCTACATCACAGCATTTGCACTAATTACGTTTTGACGTCCTCCATATCAGAACTTCATGATTAGTTTCTGGAATCCCTGTCGAGGTGTGGCTTACACGCCCCGAGAAACTCCAAGTTTCTCGATCATAACGGAACGGGAAAGTGTTGTGACGACGGAATGTCAAAAGGGTTCGAATTGCTGTTGCGGGGCAGCCTACGGAAGCTCCGGGTCCTGATGTAGCTCCTGAATAGACTTCAATCACTTCAATACGTTAACACGTCGGAGCCTTTGCTGATGTGCATCATTCGCTGTGTCATCAGTGTCTTCTGGCTTTTTGGCAGACTGTATCTGAAAGGCGGCCGGGCAACCTCCTTTCCGTATCATCCGCACTCTCAGTAAGGCCACGAAGCGAATGATAAAATGATCCATAGTCGGCTCTCGGGGTTAAAGCGAAAAGTTTCGCCAGCCATTGGTCATTTCTGACCTCATTTTCGACCACCGGGTCCTTTGATAGGGGCGCTTGTGGCACAACGGAGGTTTCCCGAGACCAAAATTTCAGGCCAAATCTCAAGCGAGAGCAAGAATCAACGTCTAGAGACCATTTACTCGTCTTGCGGGATGAACCCGCTTCTAACGGTCGGAATTTGCCTCCGGCAACTGGCCGCCAGTGCGGATGCTGGTTCGTGAGTCGCGACATTGAAGTGAGTCAGAATGCTCGCAGGAATACACGAAACTTCTCAAAACACGCAAGAATGTCGGTGAAAGCTCATGAATACGACATCTAGATGATGGCCCATCTATTGAGATGGCAT